AGTGTTACCGCTCGGCCCCGTCAGCGCTCGAGGGGGTCACGGTGGCGATCGCAGTCTCAAAGTTTCCTGGTGCTTTGCACCTCGTGACCGTGCCTGTTCCCATCAGCCATGGGAAAACACAGCCACCATCCTGCAAACAGTCTTGCGGTGCTTTGCACCCCGATGGCTGGGACTGGACCCTCCACAGGCAGGAGTGGCTGCTTAGGAAGGGGTCCTGTAACTCTTTGTTTGCATCTGAAGGGCTGTTGGAGAATGGGAAGCTGCTCTGGCTAATCTGAAAAACTTCCACATTGCTTTTCTGTATCACTAAGCAGAATCTTACATCTAGAGGGGGTAGGCTGTGAGGAGGCATCTTGAAAAAAGCCTCTGTTGGGTCTGGAGTTATTTCTTGGCCACATCTCCTCCTCGTAGAAGCGGAAAAGGCAGCAGCAGCATGTACATGAAGTCCTGCAATGCTCTGCACTTTTTATTTAATGCAACTGTTCCCCCAAAATGAAGGATGGAGCTGCTGCCACCCTGGATTCATGTCAGTCTTTGTCATTCTGAGCTCTGTGCAAACCTGATTCTCTTCAGAGCTCAGCTGAAATCACGTACCGATCGTTTCATGTCCATTAGTGGTGTTTCAGTCCCTCCCCATTTTCTCTCCTCCACTTTCTGTTCCCAGGATGCCATCCTGTACTTTTTGTCCGTCTTCTCTTGTACTCTACTGCATGGTGGGATCAGGATGTGTCACTCTGCAGCTTCCCCTCCCCCAGGATTTGGTTGATTGATTGCTCCTCTTGAGAGAAAGACATGATGATACCATGTTTACAGTAGAAGTCCATTTAAAGGGGTTTGTCACTTTCCTTCTTCAGGTGGCTAGGATAAAGAGAAGGAACAAGGTGATTATGAGAGGAGTAAAAAGGCAGTTTAGTATGTCCCCCTGCTTTTGTTAGTCTAGACCTGTGTGACACAGCTGGCCTGGAAAGTTTTGCAAACCCTTGAAGTAGGAGATGCTATTGAAAATGTACAACATTGCATTTCTCTCTTTCCCAACGTGCCTCCCCATGTGAAAACCTTGTCTTGGCAAAAGCATCAAACCCTTGTGGATGTTTTGTATTTTGGCAGGGTATTGGTAAGTCACAACTGTATTAGCATGTGTGAAACACGCAAGTTATCTCCCCTGCCAGAGGAGAGGAGCCGAGACCTCATATGAGATTAGCCACTGAAAAGCCACTTGCCAAGAATGACCTTCCTGGTGGGCAGCCCACAACTATGCCCCATGGCAAGGCAACCCTGCTTCCAGGTGTGGGTTCAGGTAGTCACCTGCTTCAGGGGCCCTGCCCCTGCACCCAAAGCTTCCCTGTGCCCATCACCTCTGTCGTCCCCAGGCCAGGGCTGAGCCTGGAGGTGTACTTGTGAGGAGAGAGCAGTCCTCTCGCCCCCTGCCACAGAGAGAGCAGGTCCACGCACCTGTAGTAATCCTCCTGCGTTGGGAGCGGCACGCCGTGCAGGGGGTGATGGGCATGGAGCCACTGCTGCTGCTCCAGAGCCAGGCGCTGCAGCTCAGCTGACTGCGCATGCATGGCCTGGAGCTGATGTGCTGCTGACATGGGCGCAGAGAGAGAGCCTGGCAGGTCCCTGTAGGGTGCAGCTGAAGCCAAAGACAAAACAGAGAATAAACAAGTGAACTGAACAGCTCCATCCTCACCCATGGCTCCTCAGCTCAGTTAAGGCTCTGCTGCACTCCTTTTCCCAGCCCTGCCCACATGCAGGATCTGCCCAGCCCAATAGCGTGGGCCTGTCCTATGCCGTGGCAGAGCTCTGTTTAACAGACCTTGGTTTGGCCCTGTGACCTCCCCGTGATGGCCCTGCCCCTTAGAGCTCCGCTGATGCTATCTGAAGGAGACCAGCAGTTCCTGTGAACATCCTTACCAAAGAGCTGGTGGCGCAGCACTTCATTCTCATGTAGAGGGTGAGGCAGGAGAGGGTTGGGGATGGTTCCAGCTGGGTATGGTATCCGGGTGAGGTGTGATCCCGAGGCAAGTGGGTCGATAAGAGGGTGAACAGAAGCTGAGGCTGGGAAGAAAAGATGTAACAGCATATTGTCCTATGCTTTATAAGAGGTAAGGAGAAAAGCACAAGGCAAAACAAAACAGGCATTGAGAAAGGGTCAGCACATGTCAGGGATGGAATGATTTCACAGGCAGACAACAAAGTACCATGTCCTTCTGAGCGTTGCTCTTTTTGCCTGCACTGAATTCCACATGAACCAGTCTGGCAGAGTTCTGTCCCTACTTCCGGGAGAAGTATTGCTCCCTAAAAGTCAATTCTGCAAGGACCTGCTCTGCAATCAGGGCTGTACCCCATTGTAGGGAACGGCGGTCGGAAGATCTCGCGATGTACGGAAAAGTTAGGAGAAGGAACCCCTTCCTATGGATGTTTAGGTTTACGCTAAGGGAAATGACGTGGATTGCCTATGCAGACATGAAGTTGGTAACGAAGGAGTGATTGTATATAAGAAGGTGTCAGTGAAGCAATAAACGCCATTTGCAGCATCCTCATACTGGTGTCAGTGCTCATTGGACCGGGGGCTGGAGTGAGGCCTCTGTGCGGTCTCAGCCGAAGGAGGTCGGTTGTCATGAAAGGCAACACCCCATATCATGCCACCCTGGTGGTCATTCATCTTGTATTGGGTGCTTCCGTTTCCAGGTCTCACCCAGGACAGATGCCCTTTCTGGTGGGTTGGACTCATTGCCAGAGTGCTGGCTGGAGGTGCACAGCTGTGGAGTGTGGGGGAAGGAGCATTCGTTTGTACCTGGTGTCATCTCTGAGCACTTGCAGCTGCTTAGTGCCAGTGTCTGTCTGTGACTCCACCACCAGATCCCACTGACCACTCACAGTAGCTGAGCAGCACAGCACTTTGTTCCTATTCTATTGTAGCTTGGGCTTTTCTTCCCTGAGGTTTTCATCCCTAAACTTTTTACTTTGCTTTCCTGAAGGATGTGGAAATGGAAGGGACCACCACTCAATTCTGAAGAGCAGCAACCTTCAGTTCCTTACAAGTAGCCCACCTCTTCTCCTATCCCATCCCACTATCTGCAGTAAGAGCCATAAGAGCAAACCTGAGAACCAACATTTCATTAGTCCTAAGGATACTGTCAAAACTGTTCTAGCAGGGCTTCCACTCCCTCTGCAGACCCCAGTGTGAGGCATACAGTTCACAGCAGCACCAGCCTGGTAGCCACTGGGACCTCAGCACTTATACTGTGTCCCCAGAGATCCAAAACAAAGGGCATGGTGCAAACAATTCTGCTCGCCACTTAGCAGCAGTGTCAAGTGTCTTTGGTGAGATGGGAGCAAGGGCAGGGATGAATGACCATGATACTGGGCTCTTATGGCTGAAGATCTGTGGCCTCAAAATCAAGTCTCAGCAGCTTTTGGACTTCACCAGGGCCAGACAAAGGGAGCACAAGGAGAGCACAGTGGGAGGGAGAGCAGGACTTTGTGCAGGGCACCACCATCATGGAGTCCTTACCTGCATGTATGGCATCCTGCTGGTGGAGATGGAGGTGGGAGTGGATGTGGGAATGCTGATGATGATGAGGTGTCACATTGAGCATCTGCAGCCGGGCCAGAGGGTCATTGCTGAGAGCAGCCACCCGCTCGGCATGCTGGCGTTCAGCTGCCAATCGCTCAGCATAGGACATGTCGGGACGAAGGGTCGGGCCAGCTGCCAGCGCCAGCCTCTCCCGCTCCAAGTGGCCCAGCCCTGGGTGGAAGGGAAAAGCGGGATGAAGGCCAGGGGCTGTCTGCAGACTCAGCCCGCCGTGGCGTGGGAACGGATCCATGGCAGCAGCTGGCATGGCGTGTAGCTGCTCCAACTCTGCTGGTTTGACTTCAAAGCCGGGCTTGAGACGTTCACGCAGGTCCCGATCTCTCAGGTCTCGTTCACGGGCTTCCCGCTCCCTCAGCTCTCGCTCCCGTGTCGCCGGATCGCTGCTGTAGATGGCTGGCACATTGTACCCCAGCAAGCCCGGGTCGACTGCGCCCAGCGGCACGTAGAAAGGGTGGTTGCGGTTGCTGGGGGACATGACGTGAGGCCGTGCGTATTCACTCAGGGTGCGCAGAGCTGGGGTGTCGGGGCCGAGATACGGGGGAACGGTCGCTACAGCACTGCCCTGCTCGAAGGAGGCGCGGTGGGGAACCGGCCCGAGGGATGAGCATCGGCCCGAGGGATGAGCACTCGACTGGACGGCCCTCCTGAGCCATCTTCTGCAAAAGAGCAGAGAGACCAGCTTCAGGGTCCCAGCAGGGAGCAGCCAAGGGGGCCC